TCGAATCCCGCCGAATGCCGCGAGTTTTTTTCACAATTGGGTCAACTAAATACTTTTATTCGCCTGATATTTCGAGATCTGTCGCGGATTCGTCATCAGAGGCATAATTAGAGAGCAGTAATAGATACGGGTAACGTACGCACAGGATCTCGTGCAGTTGCGGGCAAAGAAACTATGTCGGCGAAACTGGCAGACTTCTCAAGACGCAAATTGTCAGTAGCGGATAATGGAAGACCAACTGGAACTGACAGTCAAATAAACCAAGTCGAGTATTTTTCTATCCTGTTCCATTACCACGATATGCATGCATGCATGCCTGTAGCACTTGTCGAATAAACCCAGTTGGCAGTCTGAGAAGCATGTAGACGTGCACATTGAGATTGGAAATGTGCAAGCACCTGTATGCTGGACAGGAAGAAAATAACATTGCCAATACAAGCGAACATGCGTGTCCCAGGAAGCAATTTAGAAGAAGAAGACTCAATCGACCAATGCCACAGTGGCCGCAATAGAGTTAAAATTTAAGGAGGCCCGGCTGTCTGTAAACAACTCGATAATAAGTTGCCTAAAATCTCCTTACAGTTTATCTTGTTGTTTACTGAACTGGACAGTATATTCCTTTCCGTCAATATGGGGCATCAAAAGCGATATAAGGCGGTATATAAATATCTTATTTGATGTCGTTACTTACCATACTAATAACCTAGGTACTAGCTAAAAGGCCCAGACACGTGTTTCGCCGGTATTTTACCGCTGATTGACACAGCTGCGAGGGATCCGGCTCATCAGTGGGTTTCCCAGCTTTCCCTGTCTCCTTTCTGGTTGATATACCGGTTTACAAGGTTCAGCTACTTGGCTATTCCTTGGGGCAGATAGCTGGAACACGCGGGACAGGAGAAACACCGCCATTTACTTTCTTTTGGAGTCCGTTTATCCAATATTATAATACCTGTTTGGAAATCATCTGGTTGTTAACTATGGACACCCTTTCTGCTTCTTTGTACTTTCGGTTGACGAATCCAATGCCTATGCATGCACTTCAAGACAGGCTTTGTGAAAAATGAAACTTCCGTCGGAATTCGATCCCTCCTCACCTGTCCCCGAATAACTTCCACTTAGTCATTTCCGGTTAAGATAAAACAAAAAGTTTATTTTCTAGGAGTTAGTACACGTGTGTAAAGGAGTGAGTCGGTTCCACAATGACATCAATAGTGCTTTCGTATCAAGTTGGTTATAATGGGTGGTAGGTAGGGCTCGGCATCCTTCAGAATTTGTTTAAGGCTGTCGTCCACACGACTTGCCGTATCCTGTAGTCCCCTAAACAATCCTCGCCAGAACTCCTTCAGTTTGAATCCTGGAAACACTTCGCCCAAAATGCCCTCCAAAAGCAGCGGTTTCTTCTGTTCCTCAACTTCGTCGACTGCCGTCGGCCCCTCTGTGGGATAAGCGCTGGACAGAATAATAGCCGAGGTCAGAAGGAGGGTGAATGTAAGCACGGCTATCTTGGATGCCATCTTGTCGCGAATGAACTGAGGTTTTACGCGCACAACACAGGATATATTTGAGTTACTCGTCCTGGTTTATTTAAACTGATTTCCGTCCGGGTGGGGTCGTCGGTCATCACCAAAAAACATGTTACGTGCAGGTAACCGCTCGCGCATGTCCGGAAGTACGAGATTGAGGGCAGTTAAGTCTAACCTAAACAGTATGCAAGCGGTTGAACTTGTAGTCTATATGGCTGTGATCACGCCTCATCTAGCCGACATCGATGGTATTACAGATTGTACCTCTCCGTAGGTTTTTAGGCATCGGATATGAAAGGCCCCAGTCATCCTCTTCTCCAGCTACAGACACGTAATGTTTAAGGCCCAAGAACTGTAGCAAATAGACGTAATGTCGATTACAGGAATCGATCGTCCTTTGTTGCCTTCGAGCTTACTCTCGAGCCTCGCTGACAGCCGCATAGCGGCTAAGGATATAGGCGGACTTGTACTTGTATTTATACTTGATCCTATTAGCTCCTGTTGTTAGATGAATCGACTTCACGGTTGTCACGCCTAGCGGCGGCCCATTGGCGGCGGTCGGAAGCGAGCTCCTCGTAGATGTTAACCCATTGT